TTCCTTTGAAAACACGGCCGGCTCGTTGTACGTGCCGACTCGTTCTGTCTTTTAACGAGAACGCAAAGTCGAGGAGATTACGAGGCGAACGAGCTTCAAGTCGCAAGAAACGGCTCGCTTATCGTAAAGTTCGGCCTCGTAAAATCCGACGGCTGGACGGACAATGAAATTCCAAGCATGCCATGAAGCTTCGTGTTTAAATACTTTTATGGCAACCAGAGCTTTACCATTGGTCGAGAAACTATGATAGGGGTGTGAGTTTCAATTAATCCGCGAATTGTGAATTCCTCGAGATTCCTTATCGCTATCGTGGAGCACAACAAATATTTGCCGAGAATATTTTCCATGCTTCGAAACAAATTATCTTTTCGAATATCTCGAAATATCAATATGTAGTCGTCAAAGTTTTTACCATATTTTCATAACAATGACCAATCAAAACATTTTATTGCATAGATATTGTTCGTATTTGAAAACGCAATTGTATTTCTACGTTTAAAACGCGTTTTAGATACTAAGAAAGATAAATAAAATTCTTGTACAAAAAAAATACTAGTTTTGAACATAAAAGTTCCAACATCTTATTGCAGTTTTATATGTCTCGCAATTTTAGTCAAATTCTGCAATCTACATAATACATTGTGACGCTTTAAAATAGCTTACGTTACAAATTAATGTACTTGATGCAAAATAAAAAACGAATCTCAATTCACATTTTAGATCTATTTAAAAAATATTTTAAGAAGTATTCGAATTTTCGCGCCAGGACATTGATCGATTGTTGATAAATTCATAGTAGGAATCTTTATTTACTGTAGATGGCTTCTACATTGACACAGACGAGGTATATGAGGTACATTGCATCACCATGTATTTTTGCGGCCATGGTAATAAGATTGGCATAACCTTACCATTTTCGTGTCACATCCTGTCTTACCGATTTTGCGCCCGCAGCACTACTAGTGGGGAAAATTAAAATTAAAAAAATATGAACAGTGTCGCCAGATCTGTTTCGAAAATTATTTATTGAATTGAACTCGTACTTCATCAATGAAGGAATATAAACAGCGAATTTAAAGCAGCGACTAATGGAAATTAGGATGAAAAATTTAGTACACGTGACTATTAACAACTATTTAAAAGTATTAGAAAAGATTGATTGAAATATGATATTTTTATGAACAACATAATTAGATAAGACGTCTTCTTATACAAGCGTTAACAATAAGTTCATTTCACACAATCATACAATACATACAGTACATATAATCATACAATCGTACAATACATACAATAATTCGCAGCCATACCACATTCTGTACAGACACGTTTATTGAACTTGGGAATTAGGAATCCCTCATCTCCTCTCTTCTTTCGTTCATGGTTACTATTGTTACTTTGTTCATTGTTGTAGAGTCGAGTTTTCCAAGTTTCGTTGTCAGTATGACAAGAAAATGGTAATTAATCAATACTTGTGTAGGAAGTCTCATATATTCATTGTTCTTCTATCTGATTTGATTGGTGAGAAACCCTTATCATCATGCAATGTACAATTGAAAATCTAATAAAATTATTAATAAAAGCAAAAATATAACTACTAATAAAAACAAAAGATACAAATAAATGATCTTTTCTTTTGGATTTCACTTGAATTCATTCAAAATTTTTATTTAAACACCTAAACAAATCTAAACAAATATATATTTTATTTTTACATTATATATTATGTCATGAATAAATCATTTAATGAAAGGATGATAATTAGAGTCGTTACCATACTCGAATTTAGATTTGTAACGTTTATGCTTTTTGGCTTCTTCCATCATCTTTATCACACTGGGTCTGTAAAATAAAAAAGATACATAAAACATTTATTAAAGATGCTACTTAAGGTTTTAGAAATGCTTACCTATAAGGCGGAGGTAATAATTCTTCATGCAATGTACACTGTATATTTGAATGACATGACTCATTTTGTCTATATACTTTTACTCTAATAATACCTGTATTCCTTTTACAATCGTCTTTAAGTCTAGTAAGCTTAGACGGTGGCATATCAAAACAAAACATAAAATGACTGAAAACAATGAATGTTATATAGTTATAATAAAAAAGTTATCTGATGAATACATCTTATTTAAATGTACACAAAAGGAAAGAAACCAACACTAAATACTTACCCAGCATGTGTATTAGTTTTACCATGGGCAACTGCTTTACATGGAAGTTCTTTATTTCCCCAGTTTTCAATCTTTCTAATAAATCCACCTGTCTCAAATATTGAATTTGCTACATTCTTTAAAGTAGCTGCATATTCTGCCTGTAAATATAATTTGTTTCAATTGTAGATCGTAACAACATATAGGTTAGGAAGCACATTAAGTGTATCTTGTGAAATATTATGAATTAATACAATACCTTACTTGCCAGTCGTAACAACAACGGCATTTCATAAGTCGGCATGTTTCTATAATATATTTACTTTTAATATACGAATGAAATTTTACTTGAAATGAAACTATTTTTCCTATTGACATTAACTAGACTCATGAACTATATATGTAATAACTTGACACGTAATAACTTGATATTTCACAACGTATTAAATAAATCATTCCTATATAGTAATATATATCATTTGTAATTTATACGAGCAACAAATACTTAACCTTTGTTAATTATTTGTTATTGATTAAAATTATTTGTGTTTATTTTGATATTAACGAATAATAAGTTATGATAACCTTATCTCGCTAATATGTACTTAAGAAAATCTTTCCTCAATTTTACAAAAAACTATAACGTATTATACTTAAATCTCATACAACAAAATTTATACTCGTATTATGTAAATAAAAATTGTGTCTCTCCGCCAATTTTAACAAACATATCACAATATTCAAATGATAGTCCATCAAAATGTTGGAATTGTAATTTTGTGTACAAGTCTGATTTATTCTGTTCCAAATGTAAAGTTTTACAAGAACCACCTGAAAGTTTAACGTATTTCGATATAATCGGCATTTCAAGAAGTTATGACGTTAAAATTACAGAAATTCAAAAAAAGTACAAGGAACTCCAAAAACTATTACATCCTGATAAATATAGTACTAAATCTGAGGTAAGTGGAGTTTGATTACAAATAAAGATATTAATATACTTATCTTAAATATATTGTTTTATTTTTACAGAAAGAAAAGCAACTTTCTGAGAATTTATCATCATTAGTAAATAAAGCTTATACTACATTGATACATCCTCTAAAAAGAGGACTATATATATTAAAATTAAATGGCATAACAATATCAGAAGAAACAGATAACATAAACGCAGAATTTTTAATGGAAATTATGGAAAAAAATGAAGAAATAGAAGATGCTGCAAATGATGAAGAAAAGATAAAGAAGCTAGTACAAGACAATGAAATTATCCTAAATAATTTAGCAAAGTAATTTTTTTCTCACTAAATGAATGCATTGTTTTGTTACAAATTAATGAGCAGATTTTTTTCACAGAAAAATAGCAGATGCATTTAGACAGGAAGACATTAAAAAAGCAGAATCTTTTCTCATACAAATGAAATATTATGACAGTATACGTAATAGATTAAAAAAATTAAAATATGATCTAGGTATAATAGAATAAACAATTTTTAAATATAAAACATTTGTACTATAATATATACATTAATTTTTGTGTATAAATGTATATTGTTAACGCAAAAAGCATATTGTCATCTATTTATTACTTAGAAATGTAAATATTTTATTACTTGTGTTAATATTTTTCTAATTAACATTTTAATAATGTTAAATCATTCTCTTCTCTGTAGTATTTATAACCAGTAAACAATATTATCCTGTTTTTAAATTGCATACATATATGAAATAAATACACAGTCATTTAAAAAAATAATAAAATTAAATTATTCTTGTTCATTATCTACTTTCCACTGTTCAATCCATTGACATATTCTATTCACATTTTCTGTTATTTGATTTAAATTATTACTTGTCAGTTCGTGAACTATTTCTTCTTTATAAGCTAACCTTGCTTCTTCAAGAATAGTTTGAAATATTTCACAATCTATATTATCTTCTAATTTTTTTCCAGTATAACCTCTATCTCTTAGACGATCATACAAAATAGTGTTGTCTGTCCTTAATACAAAAACAATATCAAACCACCTTTCAGGGAAAAAATCAGCTCCATGATAATCAACAATCTTTCCACCTTCGCACATAACAGGTTCCATTTTGTCTAATAACTGCAATTGAAAAATACAATAGTCACAAATTAATGAAAATATAATTAAAACATATTTTATAAATTACCTTATCTTCATCTAAAATAGGACATTGATACACTTCATCATATCCTTCTAGGCATTCTTTTTCAATAGCAAATTTGCTAACATCAATCCAGGTTAATCCAGTCTTCTCAGATAAAATACGAGACATTAAACTTTTCCCTACTCCAGGTGTACCTAAACACGAAAAGTTTATTATTTCATTATATTTGATTTTTAAATCAATTCTTAAATCAATTTTAAACAAATTCTGTACATATTGTGCACGTGATTATTAAACTTACCTGTTACTAAAATGTTTGGAAAATTTCTGTCCATATCGATCATCTTCAAGATGACACAATTGTATTTGTTTTAATATTAAAATAAATCTTGTGTAATAAACATTTCTAAAAAATTACATATCATTTCAGAAGTTTATCACCTACATTTATGTGAGTAACGTGTGAGGGCGTCATAAATTATCTTCGACATTAATCCTACCAGACTGAGAAGTAAGCTAGAAATTAAAGTTTGATAGATTTAAGAATAGTTTTAAAATTTTTTTCAATTTTGATTAATATTTTTAATATATAATTATTACGCTATTCATACTCATTATTAGTTTAATGTTTTTAAAAACATTAAACTTTTATAAGATTAGCTTACTTTTTAAATTTCTGTAAAAAAAAAATAAACAATTTAAAATTTATATACGAATTAATGAGATTAAAATATCTTTTATATAAATTAAATTTCTCTCAGTACAGAATCTTATTTTATTAAAATTGTAAAGTTATATTTCAATATTTTAAAAAGTTTTTAAAAATATAATAATTTATTTTTCTACATCTGTAAAATTATAAATAAAAGTCGAAAGTCTATATTTTTCTACATACTTCATGGACATTGATGCAACGTAACACGTGTTGGGTACGTTTATTTAAAGAGAGAGAAGACGTAGTAGTTTCACCAGAAACACGGAATTTTCGTCACTGACTCGTAAGGTCAATTTAATATTAGCATTAAATTTTTATGTATATCAAACGAAAGTATAGTTGCATCGCCGGTGAAATATTATAATAAATAAATAAATAATTATCAAGATTGTAGTATTTCAGGAATAATCGCTCACGGCACGACCTGGTACGACAAGAATGAGGTGGCATAATTCGTTGTGCTCATTATTTCGAAGCAATCATTTCCTAAAATTCAACGCGTTTTACAATGGTGCCGTGTGGCTTATTTCTGATTGTTAATCGTCGTGATCGCGTTGTGAATCGTCAATCTCGCTTCTTTAAACGATTTTCCTAACCTGAACTAGTATAAGTTTATAACCTAATTAGTATCTATAACATATTGTTGTGTAGTTCTATTGTGAAACGAAATCGGTTGTTTAATGTGTCCATTTGTATATCAATAATGTAATGCAACAAGTCATGTGTACTTAATATTATCAGAATTTACTTATTTAAACATTTTCTACAATTTTACCATTAGAAAAACAAATAAACAAGATTCTTATAGATACATATGTGAACTTAGTTCTACAGAATAGCAGTGAATATAATAATATAAATGACTAAACTACGAATGATTTGTCACTAATAATTCTTTTTGTAATTTCAGGTGAAAGTAATAAAGGATAATTGGAATAAATTGTGCATACAAAAATAGTAAAAGCTGTTCTCCAAACAAAAATAAAAGAAGCAAAGCATCATAGATCATATAAAACTTAAGCATTGCTGTGGTTCAGAAGGGCTCTATGTGCTCCACATCAGCTTCAGCAAATGGTACTTTAGTTTTCAAGAATATTGTATCAGAACATCAAAGGAGAATTTCATCTGCAAATTATAAACTTGATACACGACAGAGACAACATGCGCAACGAAATTACTGCAGCAGTACTATTCTTAGTACAGCTGATAGAAAAAAACGAAAAATTTAGTCCTGATCAATTGGAATGTTTTAAACGACGTTTGGTGGAATTGTTGACGGAACGTTTTAAAAATCATTGGTTTCCTGACAAGCCATTCAAAGGTCAAGGTTATCGTTGTATTCGTGTAAATGGTCATAATCGGAGGGATGCAACTTTGGAAAGTGCTGCAAATGCTGCTGGAGTGAAATATGAAGATCTATCATTACCAGTGGAATTAACACTTTGGGTTGACCCTAATGAAGTTTGTTGCCGTTTTGGAGAGAGCAAAGGATCATATTGTACATTGGCATCATTTGATGATAAAGAAAATACTCTACCAATTTTTCAAGGAAATCATGAAGGATTAGAAAAGGAAAATAAACAATCTGAGGGGCCGACTAAGGTACAGATTACTATATGTCGCTATGTAGACATTTGTATTTGTCTTCTTTTTTATTAGTAAAAAATGAGAAAATTGGTAAAAAGTTAACTAAAAAATACTATATTTTTATATTTTGCAGAAATCCTCTTTGATTATTAATGCAGATCAGCAACAAAAATCAAAACCACTAAGCTCTGCTAATCAAAATCAACAGCATAGCAATAACGGTACAGGTAGGAAACGCAATCTAAACAGTCCAAGGTTGCATTTAAATAGAAATCGTTCATGGTTTGGCCACTCCTTTATGGGCTATGGTCCTCATCCAATAAGTCAACCATGGTATAACATTATGCCTCCTCACTTTTTGGGTGGTCCATCTCCACCTCCTTTCATGGGTCACAGAGGAAACAAGTGGATTCATCCACCATCCTATCCAACAGGACCTGCCCGGTTCCATCACTGGTCTCCCAAAGCTGCTCTTAAAGTATAAAAAAATCCCTCCTTATGAAAGTAGTTAAAAAATCTGTTCCTTTATATAAAAAAAAAATTACATTTTTTTATTAATTAAAAAATTTTATGTTTTGATGTAAAAGTACATGACATAATAATATTAACAATGTATTTCTATATTATTAAGACTATTATTTACATTTAAATATTAATGTCTTTATATTAGGAACAGGTTTATTAACATTTCTGACGAAAATTCTCCATTCTGTAATTACAAATGACCTTGTTCGAGTTACGACTAAGGCTTACGATTTTTTATGATGAGAAATGTTGCATTATTACATGTTATATATAAATAATTAATTGGATGATAGATGTTTAATTCCGGATGCAAGGTTGCTTGTAAAATATTAGATTAGTCAGAATTTAAATAGAATGAATTAAGTCATTGATGTGTAAGACATAAGAAAAGGTAAATGTCATATCACTTGTGACACTTTTCCGATTAATCCTCAAAAGGATTTAGTAGGAGATAGATCGTAGATGTTTCAAGAGGGAGCAGTATTGATTTGATGCGGGTTACTGAAATTGGATACAATTCCTTTTTAAATTGTATGTAATAAATTTTAATGCCTCATACAGGCAATCTCAGTTCATTAAATAATATTTCATATATGAAATTCTGTCATGTAGTAGAGAGAAAGAGTTTAAAAAAAAAAAAACTCCTCTTTAATGTGTATATATGTAGTTTATTCACGATGACTGGAGCTTCAAAGTTCGCTTCATTTTTCAGTATTGTTATAGCGCCGAAAAGTAGGTAATTTAGAAGTATAATCTACCAACTTATTAACATAGTGATATTCTATAACAATATTGACAAACCATGTAAGCTTTGAAATTCTAGTAACACTGATTTGAGAATGACCTTTGACAAGTTTGAATCAATATTATCTTTTATTGTATATTACTATATTGCGTTAATGAATAGAACGATATCTCTTTTTGAATTTGCAGGTTCGTGTTGCAAAGAAATTTAGAATATTTTCGCTTTAAAAAGCACACTACCTGTTGTGTAAACATACTGCCTCCAGTAGAGATTCTACTAATAATCATTTATGTTAGAAGATTATTAACAAGTGCATGAATTTCATAATTAACGTACAGTTACAAAAATGAATGTTTATTTTAATCATGCTCAACTTAAAAATATATTCAGCTTACGGTTTTTAAGTAACACTATTAAAACTTAGTATTTAAGAACATACATCATTGATGTTGGTAGATCTATAGCTTATTGCAGTTGAAACTTTAATTCTATTGTACTAATGCAAATGTTGTGTACATTCAATCTTGTATATTATAGACAATTGATAACATCATAGTAATTTATGCTCTTGCTTTGTTAACAATATAAATATATATTTAATTTTTATTTGGAAATTATGAATCTATGTATGAAGGACTCAAAAACCAAATCAAATAAATTAGCCTTTTAATTGTCACTTCATACAATATCTTGAGTGTTACAATACTTACTTTCTTTAGTACTTTTGCATATTGCTGTTTATCTACGATTGTTTTATTCAGATATCTTTGTGTAAATATATATATCACTATATTTATAGATGTTTAACAGAATAATATTCTTTAATTTTTATATTTAATATAAACTTAATATAAACCTGTTTGGTTTTTGAATCTTTCACACGCGCGTAAACATTTTAATATACATGCCTAAAATGTGCAATTTTGTTCAGTTTATGTATAGAATTATTCATAAAGGTAATTTTCATTTCATTTACGCAATTTTAATGTGAAAATTACTTTTAAGAATGAATTAACAATGTACGTAAAATGCAGTATGCAGCTTATTTTATTAATTATATTATTAATTTATATGATTGAATCATTTTAAGAACTTTCCACAGATGTTTTAAAACACTAAAATCGGAAATTATATGAAAAATTTAAATTGGATAGTATAGGTGTTATCATCTGTTACATAATATAAATCTAGCTGATGAAATAAATTGAAATATTGTCGCTAGATATACTTAGTGTCCTTAGATGAATTTCTAAAGATATAACCAGATACAACATGAATGTTATTGAACAGACTGTATTAGAAAAAAATTTTAATCAAATATGTAGTATAAATTTTGCAACTTTCATGTTTCACATTTAATATTGTTTACATGCATGAAACTTGCTGTACTGTAGGATTTTTGTGTTAGGAATTTATTAAAATTTATTCAGGAAGAGTCATTTTGTTGTTATGAAAAGTATAAAAATTCTATATAGATATTATAATGTATATGTAGAGTTAAGCAATGTTGCATTCGGACATATTCTTTTATTAATATATATGATGCTCAACATTTGAAATGTTCCAAACTTTTTAATTGTGTTCATATATAAAAAAGATAAAAAAAAGAAACACTTTATGCTTCATACAGCAACACCTTCAAGTAATAGAAAATATTCAGAAATACTTTTTTTATAAGAAATCTAATATTCAGATAATATGTGATAAAAATATGTAGTATTAATGTAAATTGCATTCTTAACAAAAAGAAAAAAATTACATACATTTTAGGCAAAAAAAAAAAAAGAATATTCCCTTTTATATAAAAAATTCTTTTATATCTGTATCTTCTTAAGTACATGATAGTTAGGCATTAACATTTTCAAGTGAATATAGCCCTTCGGCATAAAGATCGGATCGTTTTCGAAAAACGTGAAAAAATTTTACACAATAATAAAAATCATTTTTTTTTATATTCAATATATAGAAAAAAATTTTAATATTTCATTATTGTACATTCTCTTATCGTGTAAGACTGTACTTTACAATCGTGTAAAAATAATGTATTCAGAAAAAAAACAAATATGGTATTAGGCTTTAATGTTTGGATCATTTCGATTGTAGGGTAAAGCACTATATAAACATATGCATATATTCTATCACTGCTGTGTCATATGTTATAAAACTTCTTGCATAATTATGCAATGATAACTATAATCCTGTTCTAGTACCATACTGATCTTCGCATTTTTTCATAATTTTAAATATATATCTCTGTTCAATACTTTGTTTCGTGTTATTCAATAAAAATTATATTACACATTCAAGCAAAATATTTACAAATCATTAATTGTACAACCTCTTTACTTTTAGCATTATAATCAAAATTTATAGAATTAACTAATCAATAAAATTTTAAAATATTCTAGAAAGATTCGTATCTGTACTGAAAAACGTAAAAAATCATAATAAAACCATATTCTTAATTGCAAATAAATTATTATGCTTTTATTTTTTATAGGTAATGTTTTTCGAGATGAAATCAAAAAAAACTTCATCTCATCTTAATAATAATTTTTGATTTTCGTTTGTGCTGACTTAAAATTATATTAATGCATTTTTTTGTAAGTGAAATAATATTTTGTAAAGTCCGTTATTTTTGCAAATATTACATGAAATACATGTGAGTTATAATATTGTTATATTACTATCATTAACATTTGTATAATTACAAACATTATATGCAAGACACTTAATAAATATTTCTGCAAATTAAATGTTTTTTATTATTCATCAAATCTTTTTCAATTTTCTTTATTAATAATTTCTGTGTGTATTTTAGATATTTTTGTAATAAAAACGTTTCTAAGTTTGTATTGCATTGATCCCTGTTATTTTTCCGCGTACATTGGATAGATAAGATGGCTGAATATTGGCCCAATAAGAAATGCCATCGTTTTTCCGAGTCGTTCTATTGGTTATTTTTATGTAGTCTATTAAGTACGATTTTCATTATTGGAAATTTTTTTTGAGTTCTTTTTTTCATTCGGTAATTATTTTTTATTTCCTGGTAAATTTATAACATATCACACATAAAAAATCGTATAACTAACATGTGCAGTAGAGTTACAAAAACGGTCAAAATATCTGTAATTCAACCTTAAAGTTGACGACTGAGTTACACTCATGAGTTAGATGTATGGCAGACGACAAGGAACTTTGGAATCTGTCATTTCGATGTTAATCGTAACAATATTTCCTTAAACATTAGTAATTTTATGAAAACAACACTTATTACATAAATTATCCTAATAGTTGATGATGTTATAGGAAAATAAATTACGTTGGAACGTGTACAAACTATCCATATTTCCGTTCGTATTGAACAACAGGGTTATGAGGCTCCAATTTCGAAGTCTCGCTGTTCATAAATATTTTTTCAGTGTTTTTAGTATAATTTGTGTATTACATGATGGCTGAAAAATGTAAGGTATGTATGTGACAGGAACCAAGTATTACATATGCCAAATAATTAATATATGTACAATACCATCAAACTTTAAAAAAATATTTTATTCAAGATATTTTAATCAATCGAATAGTAATTAGCAAAATAATTACAGTTAGAAAGAAAGAAATTCTTTACATTGAAATGTAATTGATGTTTAATTAACTTTTGATCTTTTTATACTAATATTATTAGATACCATATGTGAATACAATTTTTTTTCATTGCATGTTTTAGGAATGTGGTTGCAAATGCGTAAGTTGCAATCAAAATGATCAGCAACATGGAGAAATGCATTTGCATGTAGAGATAGAAAATTTGCGCCAACGTTTAATGGAAAGGGATAATCACATTGTAACAATGGAGACACAATTCCTAAATGAAGCTGATAAATTTCCAAATGGAGAATTAGCTTCTATGAAGGAGGAAATCTTAATTTGGCAAGAAAAGTATTCAAGGTTATATGAAGCTCATAAACGTGTTCAAAAAGTTAATCAAAATCTTGAAGATAAATTATTGAGGATTGTAGATAAATGTGAAACAGAAAAAAGTGCATTTACTAAGGATATTGCAACCTTATCTCATAGATTAGCTGATGCAAATTATACAATACATCGTTTAACCCAAGATAATGTAGGTTTATAGTTATACAATTTTATATAGTATAATTTCTTTTGAATGAATCAAATAAGATTTCTATAAATAATATTTCACTTTAGGAAAAGTATAGAAATGATGTAAACTTGGCAATACAACTACTCCAGTGTAAACCTTCTAATTTTGTTGGACAAAAATATGATTCTGTAAGTTATTTTTATTACAATACAAAGTACTGATTATGGAAAAAATATTTGAATGTAAATTTTTTTCAGCTGCCTTCTGAGGTACAAGCCAAAGTTAGGACATACATTGCACAAAAGAAACACTCCAATGATACGGCACCTGCTGATGTAAAAAGTATTACAGTGCCAATTTCAACGTTTCCTCCAACTGCAATGGTATATAATGTAACTAAATCTACAGTTGAAAACAGCGACGATGAAACAGATGATTCGAAGCCACCAGTGGATGTCGTCTCGGCAACGATAATGGCAAAAGTTTTAGAAGATCGAGAGAAAGAAAGAGTATTTGGCAAACATTGTGACACGTGTACTTGTCACAAAAGCATCTTAATGGTTGACGCTGAAACTCAAACCAATACGCCAAATGTTTCTTCTTGTAACGAATGTACAATGAAGTATGCACAAAATGTAGAAAAACAGTCTGATAATTTGAAAACTGTTGACAAAAATTGCCAAAATAAAGGAAGTCAAAACTCTTTGGTGCATGTAGTTTATCACGAAGGAAACGAAAGTGTTAGTAGTAAAATACAATATCAGAACAATTGTACAAAGAATGGTAATCAGCAGCAACTGTGCACAAGAGACAAATTTTTAAGTAGAAATTTTAATAAAAAAAATTCAATACGCCGTAGCGATCCGCAACACCAAAATGTATTCCAGAATCAGAGCGAAAACATACCTTATAAAATTAATGATACTTGTCTTAACAGTAAGATAAACGTTGATAAAGGAAAGCAAACGAAGCTGACTAAAAAGCATGAATTACAAATCGATGGCAAGTACAGTTCAAATTCTTGGAATAAATCTTCCAACTGTAATCACATAGTTCCTGAAAATTGTAAAAATTACTTTGATAAAAAAGAACCGAGTCACGTCGATATTATTAACGATAGATTGTGGAAAAACGAGTGGACGAAATTAAAATCACAAACCAAGACGAAAGAAAACAAAGATAAAGTTAATAGTGACATCGAGATCGACATAATTAATGATAGGATTTGGAAAAATGATAGATCAACTCAAGAAATTCAACATCCGACGCAATTAACTTTAATAGAAGTCAAGAATATTGATAATATCGCACATCAAAATGATTCTGGACAAATAGAGATAGCCACTAGTCCAAGTTTTAGTAGCGATAGTATTGTAATTTCAACTTCCGATCCTTCCAGTAGTTCTAGTGATGTCGTTCAATTAAGTAGAATGCGTTTGCATAATGCTAGTAACTTGAAATCTAATACTCAGAACAGAATAACTGGTCCAAGGAATTGTCTCGTAAGAGTAACACCTGGATCGAAGAATATTCTTTTAGATAATGCTGGACATTATAAAACTGTATTATACACTGGAAATAATAAACCAAACACCGCTTTAGTTCACTCGAAAAAATTATCTCGATCTGGATCCGAGAGATCAATTTCAACCAGTAGCGAAGAAAATACTCCGATGTTGCTACATGACAATAATCAGTTGCAAAGAGTAGCCGAATGGGTTCAATCTTCAGTTCACATGGACAATTCTAGGTCAAATTACACGGAATTAAAGCCTAATGGAAATATAATTGAGAAAAGTCTTTCGTTAACATATTTAAACGAGTCGCAAACAAAGTCCAAATCGATCGAAAATAATCGAGAATTATATGAGAATTCATCAGAAAATAAGTGTAAAAATTTAGCGATGGACGTCCAAGAGTTTAAAGGAGGCAATTTAAATAATGATGTAAATAATTTTTCATTGAATGTAAATAACTCTGATGTAGAAAAGGAGAAAGATTTAATATCTTTCGACGTTCCAACGGAAGAGGAAACTGTCTTGCCTAAAATATTGAAGAAACCAGTCACGGTGGATTTTGATTACGAGGTCAAGATCACTAAAGAAATGGAAGAAACTTATTTAAAACTTGCAGCGAGTTTAGATCCTGTCGCGTTAAGCCTATCGAGCACGGATAATGCGGATTTAACGATCGAGAAATATAGGAAAGATCATAAGAGATTTCAAAGGAGTCACGATAAAACGGGATCAAAAGTGTAAAGTATTTCCAGCAAATATTTCAAATAAATTATTACTATTTCAGCAGGGAGTTCCTTTAAATATAAAGAGCATTATTTTTTGTAACTACGTGAAACTAAGGCTGTACCAAGAACAGTAGCGTAGAATAAAACACATTCTATACACCACTGCAGATAGAATTGTATTTAGTATTTAATTTGTATAGTTAATGATAATAGCGCAATATTTTTGTCTTATGAATAAAAGTTTAATTTCACAGCAATCACGTAACATTGCTGAATATGATATTATTTAACAGCTGTATTCAAGTCAATACTTGTGTAGTTTATGTGTGTAATTTAGTTTCGAATTAGTCAAAAATTGAGTAGTTTTTTTTTTTTTTATTGAATTGTTTTTTATATTTGAATGATACCGAAATGCTTTACAAAAGATGTAATGGGTACTATCACTTGTTTCCTCTCCTTTGATTCTCTACAGTTTTGTATAGATCGATCGAAATCGGAAACATAGCCAGACTAAATTAGATGTTTAAACTTTTATTCTTGTTACTGCGACTAAATATTATAGGACGAATTGCGTTCACGTGTATTGAAACAAGACAATATTTAACAAAAATTCGTTGTCAAAATGTCGTAACACTATGCTCATTGTGCGATGCATTAGTGCGTGCTACTTCCAATTAATCGAGTAACGTGACGTGAATATTTTACGTTGTGAGACGAGCTCTCTTAAACTTCGTTTGATACGACACGATAGGATTTTACATCGTTGATACGTAAACTTCGAACTTCTGTTCAACGATCCTCGCAAATGAATAGATGACAGAAACGATGTTTATTGTTATTATTTTTCTTTTCTCAACACGCTCAATAAAATACAAAATGTATTCGTGACGTGTTTTTCGATGTTCGTGATCTATTTATGAACGCGATTCATAAATAAAGTAATAAAGATTTGTTTCGCGCAAAGATCATCGTCTGTGTTAAGGAATAGTTACGGTACCAAAGTTAAAAGATTAATACGTATAGTAATCCTTTAACACATTACACTTGATTTAATATATAATTATTGTAATATAATTATCTATGTTTGTTTGCATGCCTTGTCACACGTTTATGTTAAAGAATGCCTTAAATCACAGTGAGGAGATTATAATGTTGCTGGCATGTAATTAAAGTAAATTGGATCGTTACCTGATTTCGATGTTAATTCATGCTCGCTGTACTTTGATCGAATTATAATCGATCTCTTACAAAAAAAAA